ATTAAATAAATCTCAAGAATATTAAAAGAAAATAAAAAGACATATTAAATCATTATATTAACAATTACAAAATTATAATATTTTATTTTAATAGATACATAAAATAACTTAAAACGTTGTCCACGACTCATGATCAAAGTTATCCACAATTCGTATGGTTCTTGCTGAAGAAAACGTCAAAAGCAACCTAAATAATTGTTAAATAATACAGAGCGATGTGTATGAAAAGAAAATAAGTCAAAAGATTCTTTACTATGAAGTTTGCAACAGCAAAAACCACCAGAAAGCAATAAAAGGGAAAACAAAATCCTCATTATCATCAGGACTTTCAGAAAACCTTACTAGTTTCTTCTGTCACCATGGATTATGAGTTACCTAAGATATTATCCTTTACCATGCCCTTTATTCTCTTCATGATTTTGGCACTCAAAATAGGGACCAGTCTCAAGAAAACTGGGTCATCTCAAAAAATACCACCAGGACCATGGAAGCTACCTGTCATAGGAAACATACACAATCTTCTTTCATCTGCACCACACAGAAAATTAAGAGACTTAGCCAAAATATATGGTCCTTTGATGCATCTCCAACTTGGGGAGGTCTTCACAATCATTGTTTCCTCACCAGAATATGCCAAGGAGATCATGAAAACCCATGATCTCATCTTTGCATCAAGGCCTACACTTCTAGCTTCTGATATATTGTGCTATGAATCCACGGATATTGTGTTTTCTCCTTATGGAAACTACTGGAGACAGCTACGAAAAATCTGCACAGTGGAACTTTTCACCCAGAAACGTGTCAACTCATTCAGACCAATAAGAGAAACTGAGTTCACCAATCTCGTTAAAATGATTGATTCTCATCAGGGGTCTTCCATCAACCTCACTGAAGCAGTTCTTTCATCGATATACAACATCATTTCAAGAGCTGCGTTTGGCATGAAATGCAAAGACCAAGAAGAGTTCATATCAGTGGTAAAAGAAGGAGCACTGGCTGTATCAGGTTTGAGCATTGGAGATTTGTTTCCTTCTGACAAATGGCTTCAACTTGTTACTGGTTTGAAGCCTAAGCTTGAGAAGCTGCATCGACAAATTGATCGGATTCTGGGAGACATCATCAATGAACACCAACAGACAAATCCAAAAAACCCAGAAGGCCAGGGTGAAGCAGACGAAGATTTGGTAGATGTTCTCCAAAAATTCCAGGATGGTAATGAGAGAAACCATGATATTTGCTTAACTATTAACAATGTCAAGGCTATAATCCTGGTAAGGATAACGACATCTTGTATATTTATTTTATTATGAAGATAATCTTGGACCAATAGTTAATACTTACACCAAAGTGTTATGCTCTCTTCAAAATCATGCAACAAGTTCCAATTTCTATGTTTTATTATTATATACCTTCTGCATATACATTTTCCATCCAACTTCTTCAAAACTGATAACTACATTTTACAGGATCAGTGAAAAGTTATAACTACTGATTGAACATCCCATGTTGAAATATTTTGACAGCTGCAAGGTTTGTTTGTGTGTGTAAATTAAACAATCTAAACAGATGATTTACACATAATCATCAGTTATGACTGCACTTTACACATTATTATACACTCCACACTTATAAAGGTAAAATCCCTCATGGATATCATTGCATTAACTAAAGTGATAATTATTATGCAGGATATATTTTCTGCTGGAGGAGACACAGCAGCTTCTACCATAAATTGGGCAATGGCAGAGATGATGAAGGATCCAAGAGTAATGAAGAAAGCACAAGATGAGGTGAGAGAGGTATTCAATATGAAAGGATTGATTGATGAAACATGCATGGATGAACTCAAATACTTGAAAACAGTGGTCAAAGAGACCTTAAGGTTACATCCACCAGCTCCTCTTTTACTTCCAAGAGAATGCAGAGAAGCATGTGAGATTAAAGGGTATCATATTCCAGCTAAAAGCAAGGTAATTGTGAATGCTTGGGCAATTGGAAGAGATCCAAACTATTGGAGTGAAGCAGAGAGGTTTTATCCAGAGAGATTCATTGATAGCTCTATTGATTACAGAGGGAGTAGTTTTGAGTACCTTCCATTTGGTGCTGGAAGAAGAATATGCCCAGGTATCACATTTGGTTTGATAAATATTGAAGTGGCTCTTTCATATTTGTTGTATCACTTTGATTGGAAGCTTCCAAATGAAATGAAAAGTGGGGACTTGGACATGACTGAGGAATTTGGAGTGACTGTTAGAAGAAAAAATGACATATACTTGATACCAGTCACTTATAACCATGCAAGAAAGTTATGAACTTTAGCTTCATCATTACTCTTTTGCTTCAGAAAAGCCCAATCATACGAGGGATTGATTGAGATTACTTTCTACTCAAAACCTTAAGGCAATGGATTAATAGATGTTGTTGGAAGTTTACGTCGACTAGAGATAAGGCCAAATTATAATATATAAGTGAGGTGCAAATCTCACCTTACAAGTCGTTTTTGTGGGATTGAGTTAGTCTTAAACCCACTTTTTAATATAGTATCAGAACCATAGTTAGAGCCTATCCTAGCGAGTTCTACATGGATATTTTCTGTTTCCACCCGTTGTTAAGCCGCTATCGGACCATCCAATTTTTAGTATCACGCTCGAAATATCTATACCTCAGCATGAAGAAGGTGTGTTGGAAGTCTCACATCGACTAGAGATAAGGCAGTACAAACCTCACCTTACAAGCCGGTTTTGTAGGGTTGAGTTAGGCTTAAACTCACTTTCTGATAAATCTTTCACTTTTATATAGTGTTCTACTTTCTTATTTCTATCTAATATGAGACTTGGACTCACTTGAATTCTCAACATTTGTATCATTCTTGATTTTATTAGATCTGAAAAAATTTTAATGCATTCATAATCTGACTACAATGTTAGGAAGAAGCATTCATAACTTTCTTGCTATGTTGCACTGAGAGCTGAAATGGGGAGCCACCTAGCTAGTTCATGATATTTATATCAGTTAAAGAGGACATATACTAGAATTCATTTTATTCTTTTATATCTGCATAAAATTTGACTGGTTTAGTTTCTCTAATGAAAACCTTACAATTAGAGTAATGACATAATAAACTGAATGTTGAGCTATCAGAACACTTTTGTTTATCAGCACTATCAGAAGACAATCATACTGATATAATATATGTATGTGTCATGTCACCATTTAAAGATACGATCTGAACTAAAACAATAATATTTTATAGTATAAAGATCCAGATGATCAATTTTTCGTAAATCGAAATAATAGAATTTATATATTATATAAATAATTCATCTTTACTTTAAAACTCTTTTTACAAAATAAGGATTTATTATATTTATGATATTTTGAAATATTATGTCATGTAAGAAATATACTTTTAAAATAAATAATTTTAATTTTTATACCTAATTTCTTACTAATAAATAATCATACATGGATTTGTGAATCTTTCCATAACATTATTTTATATAGTTGAGCTAGTTCAGCTAAAAAAAAATTGAATTTAATTGTTTTGAAATGGTCAAATCGAATCTACAAAAATTTGATTTAAGTTGAGTTGACTCTGATCGAAAGTCAGTCTAGTTGAAGGTCGAATTAGACCAGAGATCAAATTGAGTTAATCTAAATAAAAGATTGAATCAAATTGGTTTAGGTCAAAGAATTAATTTGAATCATTCATACAGAATATTAGAGTTAAACTATTCTGAAGTAACTCGAGAACCTTTTCATCTAGACTTATTTAAAGACTTTCGACATGACCCACTGAACTCGACTTTTAACCTAAATTGAAGTTTTTGTATTTAAAGTTAATTAAAGTATTATAATAAGAAGAAACTCATGTTCACATTGATCCTAATCTATTTTTAAAAATATAACTTCATGCACCGAAATATTTTTAAGTAAATTTATTAAAGAATTATTAAGACTCACATGTATGATTTGTTGATAATTACGTTTTGATACACAACCTATTTTATTAAATATTCAACTTCAATTCGATTAGAATGGACATATTATACACATTAAATGCGTAAGATGTAAAATAACTAAATCCTTATCTAATCTAAGGCACGTCACCTCACGTTATTTTAACCTGCAATTACCATTTCGTCATCTCCTTAAACATATAAAATTCTCGAGTTGCATATATTTTCATTATTTATTCAGTTCATAAGAAAACTCATTTATTTTACATCTGCTAACATATATTTGAAAGAAGAAGAAAAAAGGACATTTAAGGGTTTACCTGACTTTGAAGTGAACATTATGATTTTTGAAAGTCAACCATCATACTATTAACTTCCTTGAATGCTGGAGAAATCACAAGGTATGTCACCATTTTCCTAGCACTAAATCCTTATCACCATCTAAGTCACGTTTCCTCACTTTATTTTAACCTGCAATTACCATTTCTTCATCTCCTTAAACATATAAAATTCTAAGAGTTACATATTTTCATTCTTTATTCATTTCATGACTCTTGAGTTTTTATCGAGAGATCCAATATACAATATTAATAAGATCTTAGTCAAATTTACGTTATATGAATATTTTCTAATATTTATGAAAACCAAATGCACCCAAAGTTGCTTTTCTGCATCACATAAACCACTATGTAAGAAGAGACAAGAAGCAAAGCAATCACAATCCTCAACATTCTCAGAACTTTGGAACTCCTTTTTCTCACAATGGAGTCTCAACCACTTCACATGTTTGGCCTTGCAATATCCTTTTTCCTCTTCATGATTCTGGCACTCAAAATAGGGACCAATCTCAAGAAAACTGAGTCATCTCAAAAAATACCACCGGGACCATGGAAGCTACCTGTCATAGGAAACATACACAATCTTCTTTCATCTGCACCACACAGAAAATTAAGAGACTTAGCCAAAATATATGGTCCCTTGATGCATCTCCAACTTGGGGAGGTCTTCACAATCATTGTTTCCTCACCAGAATATGCCAAGGAGATCATGAAAACCCATGATCTCATCTTTGCATCAAGGCCTACAATTCTAGCTTCTGATATAATGGCTTATGAGTCCACTGATATTATGTTTTCACCTTATGGAAAATATTGGAGACAGCTGAGAAAAATATGCACAGTGGAGCTTTTCACTCACAAGCGTGTCAACTCATTCAATCCAATAAGAGAAGAAGAACTCACCAATCTTGTCAAAATGATAGATTCACATAAAGGGTCACCCTTCAATCTCACCGAGGCACTACTTTCATCAGTGTATAACATCATTTCAAGAGCTGCGTTTGGCATGAAATGCAAAGACCAAGAAGAGTTCATATCATTGATAAACGAAGCCATGACAGTTGGATCAGGTTTTAACATAGGAGATCTGTTTCCTTCTGCTAAATGGCTTCAACTTTTGAGTGGTCTGAGGCCTAAGATTGAGAGGTTGCATCAACAACTTGATCACATACTAGAAGGTATCATCAATAAACACAAGGAGGCAAAGTCAAAAGCCAGAGAAGGCCATGGTGAAGCACAGGAAGATTTGGTAGATGTTCTGCTAAAATTCCAGGATGATAATGATAGCAACCAGGATATTTACTTAACTAACAGCAATATCAAGGCTATAATCCTGGTAAGGATAATAACATCTTCTATATCCTTTCTCTCATGAGCATAATCTCACTCACTTCTCTATAAACTAGACAAATGTTCAATACTTACTCCAGAATATATCTTGTTGGAGATTTCATAGATAAGACGAACTTACTGTATATACAGATATTCATAATGATCTTCCAAACAGCAGCTCACTTTATACTAGCAAATCAATTGTATGACTATCTATTTGGATGTATTGATAATCACTTTACAGGACATCTTTGCTGCTGGAGGTGAGACTTCTGCAACTACGATAAATTGGGCAATGGCTGAGATAATAAGGGATCCACGAGTAATGAAGAAAGCACAAGCTGAGGTGAGAGAGGTATTCAAAATGAAAGGAAGGGTTGAAGGAACTTCCATGAATGAACTCATGTATTTGAAATCAATTGTGAAAGAGACCCTGAGGTTACACCCTCCAACTCCTCTTTTACTTCCAAGAAAATGTGGACAGACATGTGAGATTAATGGATATCATATACCAGTAGAAAGTAAGGTAATTGTGAATGCTTGGGCAATTGGAAGAGATCCAAACTACTGGACTGAAGCTGATAGGTTTTATCCAGAGAGATTCATTGATAACTCTATTGACTATAATGGGACAAATTTTGAGTACATTCCATTTGGTGCTGGAAGAAGAATATGCCCAGGCAGCACCTTTGGTTTAGTCAATATTGAGGTTGCCCTTGCATTTTTGCTGTATCACTTTGATTGGAAGCTTCCAAAGGGAATGAAAAATGAGGACCTGGACCTCACTGAACAATTTGGAGCAACTGTTAGAAGAAAAGAAGATCTATACTTGATACCAGTCACTTTCCATCCTTTGCTGGTAAGATAAACCATGTATTTTTGTATTTTGGTTCATTTTAGTTTAACCGAAGAATTTATAATGCTTTTTCCATGATGTTTTCTTCATTGTTATCATCATATATTGGTAGGGAGGGAACTATAAGTCTAACTAAACTTTACATAACTCACTTATATTGTAAATTTGATTTTATCTCTATTTCCAACCATACCATTCATAACAGAAAAATTGTCAAATGTTTTGTGCAGGGAAATGGTGCAGACTGCAGAGTAGGGAAAAATCAGTTCCAGGATTAAAAGTACTGAAGTTGATGGCACATATTCAATCTGATGCAGAAACTGTTCATATTCTGTAATGAACTTATCATGTAAAACGTATCTTAACTTTCATCATCAGATGCCTCAATCGCACTATTCCAATGGAAATTTTTGCTTTATTTCAAATACACAGAAATATTAAGGACTTGATTTTAAACATATTCCATTATTGCAAGCTTGATAAGAATTTTAAACATCATTATTTATAAACTGCTAGAAAAACAGAGTCTAAATTTTTACATTGATACAAAATTACTTCACAATCAATAATAATAATTATAAATACTGACATGAACCAATCACAGACTCTTAAAATATTATAGAAAAATATTGTCAAAAGTATATTATTCGTAACTAAAATGTTCGGTAATACATTTCTATTTCGTATGGAACTTAAATTCACAGTAAAAAGCAATACAAACACTTCCTTTCCTACAAACATTCCAATTACAATCACGAGACGAAGAAGTATATATCAAACAACAACCAAATAATTATATGTTAAGAATTCTAAGTGGTGAGTTGGAAGGGACAGATAAAAATATGTAAGATAAATAATATATAAGTAAAGCAATATATAAATTTATTGACTTAATTAGGTTTAAAATAATGTCTTATAATTTATTCCAGTTCGTTCGCATGAATAGATTATAAAATAGGTGAAGAATCTAAAATTTAAAGATCTACAGAATATTAATCTTAAAAGTGTTTCCATTGGAAAAAAATAGTCCTAAAACATGAGAACGAGCTCTCATAATTATGATATATTAATAATTTTTTTTAATAATTTTTTAATATTTGTTATTATTTGATTGATTTTTATATTTGAAATAGAACAATCATTAACTATTGTATAAATTATTGTAAAAAAATTGTTAAAAAAACATATTTTTTACTTGATGGATTGATGCGTTCAGAAAAAAACGACAAAAAAGCAGTTGGATGTCGCACGGAAACTATAAATGAAACACATATTAATATATTGTCAATGCTTTCAATCAACACTGTAAAAAGACAAATTTTAAAAGTTCTGGTCATTGTGAAGATGTATTTTACATTGAAATTAGCATAAAACACACACAGACAAAGACAACCAAATCCTTATCTTTATCAAGTCTTAGTTCCTTCACCACTCTCTTCCTTCACCATGGATTCTCAACTGCTTAATATATCAGCCCTTATCCTCTCCTTTTTCCTCTTCATGATTTTGGCACTCAAAATAGGGACCAATCTCAAGAAAACTGAGTCATCTCCAAACATACCACCAGGACCATGGAAGCTACCTGTTATAGGAAACATACACAATCTTCTTTCAACTACACCACACAGAAAATTAAGAGACTTAGCCAAAATATATGGTCCCTTGATGCATCTCCAACTTGGGGAGGTCTTCACAATCATTGTTTCCTCACCAGAATATGCCAAGGAGATCATGAAAAACCATGATCTCATCTTTGCATCAAGGCCTACAATTCTAGCCTCTGATATATTGTCTTATGAATCCACAAATATAATTTTTGCACCCTATGGAAACTATTGGAGACAGCTTCGAAAAATCTGCACAGTGGAGCTTTTCACCCAAAAACGTGTCAGCTCATTCCAGCCAATAAGAGAAGAAGTACTGACCCATCTTGTCAAAATGATCGATTCACATAAAGGGTCTCCCTTGAACCTCACTGAAGCAGTGCTTTCATCTGTATATAACATCATGTCAAGAGCTGCGTTTGGCATGAAATGCAAAGACCAAGAGGAATTCATATCAGCGGTGAAAGAAGCTGTGGAAAGTGGATCGGGTTTTAACATAGGAGATCTGTTTCCTTCAGCTAAATGGCTTCAAATTATTACTGGTTTGAGGCCTAAGCTCGAGAGACTGCACGGACAAGTTGATAGGATATTAGGAGACATCATCAGTGAACACAAAGAGGCAAAGTCCAAAGGCAGAGGAGGCCAAGGTGAAGCAGAGGAAGATTTGATAGATGTTCTTCTAAAATTTCAGGATGGTAATGAAAGTAACAAGGATATTTACTTAACTATTGACAATATCAAGGCTATAATCCTGGTGAGGATAATCTTCATCCCTTGATACACTTAAACAACTTCATGGTTTGTTTGACAGATTTACCTGGTTTATCTGAGTCTAAGTTACTTAAAAGTACACTTCTAACATTGAAAAAGGTAAAATCCATGATAATTATACTTTGCAGGATGTGTTTGCTGCTGGAGGAGAGACATCTGCAACTACCATTAATTGGGCAATGGCAGAGATGATGAAGGATCCAAGAGTAATGAAGAAAGCACAAGATGAGGTGAGAGAGGTATTCAATATGAAAGAAGGAGTAGATAAAGTTTGCATGGATGAACTCAAATATTTGAAGTTAGTTGTGAAAGAAACCCTAAGGTTACATCCACCAGCTCCTCTTTTACTTCCAAGAGAAAGCAGAGAAGAATGTGAGATTAAAGGGTATCATATTCCAGTCAAAAGCAAGGTAATTGTGAATGCTTGGGCAATAGGAAGAGATCCAAACTATTGGAGTGAAGCAGAAAGGTTTTATCCAGAGAGATTCATTGATAGCTCTGTTGACTACAAAGGGAACAATTTTGAGTACATTCCTTTTGGTGCTGGAAGAAGAATATGCCCAGGCAGCACATTTGGTTTGATAAGTGTTGAGCTGACACTTGCATTTTTGTTGTATCACTTTGATTGGAAGCTTCCCATGGGAATCAAAAATGAGGATTTGGACATGACTGAGCAATTTGGAGTTACTGTTAGAAGAAAAGATGACCTATACTTGATACCTGTTACTTCTCCATCTTTTCTGGTAAGATAAACCATACCAGAAATTACTATAACCTTTTTGAATTTTTCTGGATTACCCAATTGAAAGAAGCTTGTTTTTCTTTGGTGACTTTTTTAGAACTGAAGATTATATGGTGCATCCAAAGTCAGCGACACTTCTGGTATGAACTTGCTTTATAGCTACGGAACTGAATGCTTCTTTTGTTTCTTAGTACTCTTTTATCCTTTTCATATCTCATTAGTATCTTATTTTCTGCCTCTGGTACTACCTAACTTGTGGAATTTTGTTTCAAACTCTTTTTATAATACTAAAATTACGTATTGAATTTGAATTCTGGTAACATAATTCCAAAAGTTTTTTTATTATTTAAAATAAAAAATAAGATATAGTTATGACAATTGTTATAAAGGGTCTATTCAATATTAAACACAAAAGTACATGATAGATAAACATCAATACTATAAACCGTTTCGTAATAAATTCAATTGCTGTTGATATTGTGACAAGTATTAATATTTATTTGATACATATTATAGGATAAAATAGTTATTAAAATAATAACCTTTTATATTTGTAAAAGAAACAAAATAATAAAAGAAAGTATTATATAAATTTAAAAAATTTATGGCTGTTAAAGTATTATTACTCTGATATAAGAAAGATAAAAAGAAGAAATTGCATCATTCATTCCTGGTTTCTACTTGTGTTTCTCAAATTGCCTTACATGGATGCCATTGCAAACTGAAGATGGGAAAAAATTGAGAATTTTCAAAACATTTTCTGTACGCTTAACTTCAAATTTAATTATCCTTCAAAAGTCTTTTGTTTGGAATTATAATCCAATACAAATCAATTCATCGTTTGATTCACTTTCAACATTGATAAAAGTCAATTAACTAGCCTCCTTTCATTTTTAGGTCAGTTTTTTGAAATCACAATTATTTCGAATTAGGATAGAGATTTTTTACTCAAAGTATTTAAAGTTGTCCTAGAGATTAGATGGACTTTCTGACGGTCTTCCATTATTCAAGTTATATTGGTCGTTTTCACTCGTTCTTCTCCCTATCATGTAAGAGAATAGTTATAAAAGACACTCAGAATACTCAAATCAATAATTTTGCGTGATAATATTTAATAAGAAGTAAGTATTCATAACGAGTTATTTGAACTTTTGTCAAACATATTATATATATTAAAATGAACTTATTAATATTTTTGTTAATTATAACTATTTTAATAACTATCTTAACCAAATTCGTTGAGAGTTGTTAATTTTTGTTTGTCCAGTTAATTTGGTATGACAGGTATCCATGACCTGTATGACAGGTATGCATAACCTAAAACAATCAATTTTTTTATTAGCTAAATGATAGATTGGAAAAAAGCAGTATGGGGAATGGTTAGGGGACTTAATTTCTTGACATGTAAGACAAGACTTCACATGGGCTACAACCTCCCTTTTAATTCCAGGTCAATGAAAATTCTCATGAATGTGCTGAAATGTATTATGGACACCCATGTCATGTGACCTCCCAAGGGGCTGTTATGGTATTCCTTAAGCAACATTTCCTTAAAAGAAAGATAATGACCAATATACAACTTTCCTTTATATAACAACAGACCATCCCCATAGAGAACCCCACATGTGAGTTTGGATAAGTAGAGACCTCACTGTATAATTGTTTCAATTGGGTAACTAATTCATAAGTAGCTTTGAGTTTGGTAATAAATTCAAAATAAAATTTATTGGAAGTCTCACGTCGACTAAAGATAAGACCAATTGATAGTTTATAAGTGGGTGCAAATCTCATCCTACAAGTTCGTTAAGTTTAAAGTTCACTTCTAACATGGTATCAGAGTCATAACCATGACTCTAATTCATAAGTAGCTTTGAGTTTGATAATAAATTCAAGGTTTAATATCTCAATAGGTCCCTATTTTTGTTCAGAATTTGAAATAGGTCCCTTTATTTTTTGGCGTCTCAATTGGGTCTTTATTTTTGTTAATTTGATGCAAATAAATCCTTTCCGTCAATTTCATCAAACGACGTTAATGAATGTGTGACGCCACGTCACACATTCATTAACGTCGTTTGATGAAATTGACGGAAAGGATTTATTTGCATCAAATTAACAAAAATAAGGACCCAATTGAGACGCCAAAAAATAAAGGGACCTATTTCAAATTCTGAACAAAAATAGGGACCTATTGAGA